CTCTGGTAGAATGACCCTACACTTGTTTCGTACTCTTTTGAATCTGGCAACAAATTGAGCAGCCTTCTCATCAGGCCTTTGGCTCAATCTTGCCAAATCTCTCATGGAAACTTTAGGCTCTGTTTGGAAGAATTTGGCATGAAATGCCTCCTCCATTTGCTGCCAAGTTTAGATAGAACCAGGTATAAGGTTAATATACCATTCAAAGGCTGCCCTAGTTAAGAATTTGGAAATAGTCTTAACTTCATGTAATCATTATTGGTAAATTCACCACATTGGTCTGCGAACCTGGTAATGTGTTCTACTGTTAACTGATTTTCATTTCCATAAAAGAGAGCAAAGTTTGGTATTCTAAACCCCCTTGGGTATTCATGCACCATATCCACCCATTCTGGGTATGGCTTCCTATACACTAGAGTCTGAACCCCCCGAGCTATAGGTCCACACATTTCTCTAACAATATCAGCAATTTGGTTCCTATGAACCATATTCTATGCTTGTTAGACCACTACTGGAGAAACAAACACAAGGTTTGGTGGAAACCCATGTGCTTGATGTCCTCTTAGTCCATAGGGAAGTATATTTGGAACTGGCTGTCCCTATGGTATTGGCTGTTGTTGAGGGTATGGTTGACCTCTCTGAGCCTGTCCTACGAGAGAACCTGCGAAAGGTGCTGCAATAGGAGGAACATGTGTTGTTTCTCTCCTAGCCGCAGGAAACCTTACCAACCCCCCGGGTGTGAATTCGAACGGGGGATTAGTAAACTCTCTTGTGCCAGGCATGGCTTCGAACATAGGATTTGGAAACATTCTTATGCCATTTTCTTGTGTTGGCCTAGATCTACCAATTTGTATGGCTTCGCTGTTAGGTAATGAGATATTTTGATTTACCACATGCCTCGAAAGAGGCTCATACCATAACTGAGGTATAGGTGATGGTCTTTCATAATTTTGATTACTAGTCTGACCATTAGTATGCCCACTACTTTGCATAAGCTGTTTATCTTTAGCCAATCTTTGCTAAAGAACATTTGAATTTTCCTCCATATGCCTTGTACTAGTTGGTTGATGAGAATTCATTCGATCCATGAAGGATGTTGCCCATCTTTCCATTGTATACATTAACTGTTATCCCATGGCATCTACCAAGCCTTCCCACGGATTCATTGGCTGGGTAGACAGAACAGTAGATGGTCCAATTCTATGGCTTCGTCCAATATTTTGAACATGTGGTGCATGTTTCGAGTTGTTGGTCTGTTCAACCATAGGTTCTGATGAGATAGGTGCTTCTATAGGATGTGTTATCACATTATCCTCTGGATCAGGTACCTCTACCTCTCCCTCTATACCTTCTTCCAAGCGTTCATTTTTTCCTTGTCTCTTATGTCTAGCCATTTTAAGGTCCCACTAGGCGTGCCAAAAATATATGTTGGCTTTTTGACTTTCGAAGGTTAATAATGTAATTTTAAGCGTGCTAGTAAGGATCAATTAGTCATTACAGAATATTAATTGTCAACCAATTATCAGACGATTGTGTTATAGTTTCTTCAGTCTCAATAAATAGGAATTTTACTAGTGTCTTGTTTAGGAGAATTTAGTAAATAACAACAAGTGAAGAACAATTTCAGAATCTAAATTTCATTAAGTAAAATGAAAACTTACAATGATCTGACCCTGCCTCGTAAAGGTTTACAGCAACAAGCTATTTGAAACTACTCCTAAGAAATGAAGTAATTATCAGACGATTGTGTTATAGTTTTTTCAGTCTCAATAAATAGGACTTTTACTAGTGTCTTGTTTAGGAGAATTTAGTAAATAACAACATGTGAAGAACAATTTCAGAATCTAAATTTCATTAAGTAAAATGAAAACTTACAATGATCTGACCCTGCCTCGTAAAGGTTTACAGCAACAAGCTATTTGAAACTACTCCTAAGAAATGAAGTGCAGTACAAGAATTGAAATGCAGAAATGTAAACAACTGGAAAAACTGGAAGGAAAAATGAAGTAAATAAACTGATTTTTTTATCTGAGTCTAGGGGCTCATTCTGGGGCATTCTCTGTTATTTATATTCTTCAATTTTAACCGTCAAAGTGGGCTTCCAACCGTCGAAATGTCATCCCATGATGGTTGAATATACTCTTTCACAGTCAGTCCCACTATGTCACTCTTGCAGTTAGGCTTCTCTCTTGATTTTGAATTTAAACTTTATGAGTAACCATTAAGGTACATCATCTTGTATCTCTCGATTGTTCCAGTGCTACGCAAATCCATTATTATCAATACAAATTGTCACATGTCTGATTTTAATTGACAACTTGTATTAATTCTTTAAATTGTCTTTTTTATACCACGTGTTAAATTGTGATTAATTTTTACAAATTATACAGTCAACAGTTTCTCATGACAACTTTCTAGCAGCCTAACAACCTATAACGCTAATTATTATTCTGAAGTTAGGAAAGTAAGCCTCACTAACCTAAACTGGAATAACAAATAGAACCTGTTACAAAAATTGATTAACACAAGTCCAACACCAAAGATGCACCAAGGCCAACATCGATCGCATGAAATTGTTCACATTTAAGAAAAATTAAATAACTATATATAATACCAAGGCCAACATCGATCGCATGAAATTGTTCACATTTAAGAAAAATTAAATAACTATATATAATCATATATTAAAAGAAAAAATAAACAACATATCAAATTATTTTTAGAAGAATCAAATTCATAATCTCATATAAAGTGCTGGGCCAAGCCTACATGACTAGTAATATTTAAAAAATTTAAAAATTTTATTAAAAATTTTACTAAATATTTCACGTGAGTGTGAAATTTGCCCCACGTGGGTCACCATCCTCATTATGCATGAAGGATCGTAGTCACTAATAGGATAAAATAATGATCAGATGTGGAAAAATAAATTTTAAGAAATCGGAAAATAAATTAAAACAAGATAAAGTTCAAATAATGGCAATCCTCCAATAGATGGCCAGCACATACAAACAATTCAGGACATTATTTAATTATTTAAAATAAATAAATTCCTTGTCATGTCTGCATGGCTTATGAGGCAACTCTTAATTGGCCAATTGAACACATTTTTTTATGGCAAAAAATTAGCTTCTATAAAGCCAAGATTCCGAACACAAAATTTTACAACTCACTATTTTATTAGTCAAAAAACGGATAAAACAAGAAAGTAAAAGAAGAACAAACTTTTGTTCCTATTAACAAAAAGAAAAAAATTAATTTTTTAATTAAAATTTATTATTTAACAATTAAATTAATTACAATTTGAAATTGACCAGTGTAGACTTACAAACAACCAAATTATGTTTAGAATAAAAAAATTGGTGAAATTGTGTTAAATAAACACTTTAAATTTCCATAAAATTTATAATTATTTTAATGGGTAAATTAAATTAATTTTTCTTGATATTTGTAAAAATACAAATAATTAAATAATTTTAATATAATTATACTAACTTTTTTTTAATTGAAATTAATACAAATGGTATGAAAACACGAATAAATAGAAAAGAGAAAGACTATGATAGACACTCATCAAATGATGTGTATTATATATATCTTATAACTAAAGAAGAAAAAAAATGACATAACTTTACACTTTCTAAGTCGTAACTAAAAAAAAAAAAATTATAACCAAAGATCTCATGAGTTATAATTAAAATATTATCACAATCAAAGAAGAAAATTTGTTATAACTAAATAATAAAATAGCATAATTAGGGTGGTATATGGTACACCCCTTTTAAAGAGGTGTATAGTATAATTTCCCAATAAAAAATACATATTTAAGTGTAAAAAAAATGATAATATTAGGGGGTGCTTGCAGTTCAGTTTTGGACGGTTCGGTTTGTGGTTTGGACCCAGTCGTATATGTGCAGTTTGGGAAAAATTAAACTCGTAACCGCCTGCAGTGCGGGTTACAGTTTGTGCGGATATGATTCACTGATGTGCGGGTGGTTGAGAGCGGATTGCGGATTGGATTTTTTTCTTTAAAAATTTATTTTGGACTTTTTTTTCCCGTTTTGTAAATATTTATTTCGGGCCATTTCCCTCCATTTTCTAAAATGCCCAACATTAATAATTAATGAATTAAAACTTACAAAATTAAAAATACAACAAAATCAATTTCTAACAAAAACAAATCATTTAAAATCCTAACCTTTTTAACAAAATCATAAACTAACATAAAAATGTCTTTCAAAATCTTAAATTAAATCAATGATTCACTACCTAACAATACAATTAAAGTAAAATCATTCAAAATTCTAAACTTATCTAAAAGTAATTCTTCATTAATTTTTACATTCATCCAAAATGCAATAATAAAATAACAATAAATTGTTGTCAAACTTCATCCAGTTTAAACCCATTAAATAAATAAAAAAATATTTGCAAACTCACAAACTCTATTATAAAAAAATAAAAAAATAATAAAAATAAAGAGTCTAAGTGCAGGCAGATTCTTACGAGCAACCCGTAATAATGTCATATTTCAAACCGCACCATTATGTGTGCAAAACCACCTATGTGTTTGGGAAGCAAGTTCCCAAATTTTTTTTCTCATTTTTTTCACTAAAAGACAAAAGTTTTGCAAAACCAAAAAAAACACATCCAAACAAAATATCACATCCAACCCCGTAATCATTTCACTTTTTCTCTCACAAATATCACATCCAACTACATAAAAACCAAACTATCTTCCCAAACACCAAAAACTTTTTATCTCATAAAAACCTACATCTAATAAAATCTACATAAAAACTCACTTCCCAAACATCTGTTTGGATTGAACAGTTCAAATAATTCTATTCCAGCCTAGATAATATATCTACATGATTAATAAATTGTTAATGAAATGAAAACTAATATTAAAATTTTAAGAAATCTTTAATTAAAAGTGTGTAATTTATCCTATTTTAAGTTAAATATAGTTTTCACATATAAAGAAGGTGGACATCAAGAGATTTCCAATCTATTCATTTTGATTTATCTTTTCTGTTCTGTCTTTGACTGCGCTTTAAAATCACAGGAATATGGTATGCTCTCTCATCAGTCTACCTATTTTCCAGAGCAATCTTTGTAAAGTTTCAGGCACATAAATTCCACTCTAAGGTGTTCTCTCTCCAATGAGAGTGTTGGGTTTTTCTTCTGCAATTTGGTGGAGATTTATCTCTTTCATGCTCTGATGGGTATCTTCTCTGAAAGAGGTAAATGGGTCTTACCTGATTTTCAATTTTCAATAATGGGTTTGGTTTTTCTTTCTGGGTTTTCATATGAATCTCATCTCCTTTTCTCAGAATGCCTGGTAACTTTTTTTTTTTTTTTTTTTTTTATACAATTTTTTCATTTGTAAATGTCTAAAACTAATCATGTTCTGGTTCCCATTTGTTTCTCGAGATCCTAGTCTTTCTTGTCTGCCAAACAGCATACCCATCTTTATCTCCCTCTTCTCCTCCATCTATATGAAAATGTGAAATTCCTTTACTCTGTGTATAATTTCCACAGTTAATGTTTTTATATTTTTGTAAAATGTATCTCATCTATAGCAAAAAGAAAGTTTTGATTCGGGTGTAGAGACTACAACTTGTTGAATCTATTCCACACATTTCACAGAGACAGAAGCTATGAAAAATTTGTAATTATTGGATAAATTAAGAAAACTATGTAATCATGAAAGCTATGAAAACTATGTAATTATTAAATTGAAAATTATAATAGGTTTACAATGGATAAATTGTGTGATCTTTTTTTTTTTTTTTGGGAACTAAAATTTTGTGATCTTTGGTAGGAACAAATTGGCTGTTCCAGTGGCACATCCAGAAATTGTGAGGTCTGTTACTTACAAGCACTTTTTAATATTTGGTTGAATATTGATTTTACATACTTAGAATATATGTAGTGCCAATATTACTTAATATATATATATATACACTAGCGGGTTAGATAACTAATAATAAAAACAAATAATAAAGAATTTAATATCATAATATGTATGTTACTTAAATGATAAGTATGTTCGTAGTGAAACCCATGGTCTTGCGTTCAAAACTTGCTTACGTTGTGTATAATAATTTTTTTATTTTAGCATATATAAAGTTGCCACATGACATGAAGAGAAAAAAGTTTCACTAAACTAATTTAGGCCTTCACTTAATATAAGTATAGAAGTATAGATAGATATAGATATAGATATAGATATAGATATAGATATAGATATATATATATATATATATATGTAAAATTCTAAATAAAATGTAGAAGCATGTGAATGGTGACAGGAAAAGGGAGAGGTAACTTATCAAAAAAGAAAGAAAGGAAGGAAGGAATAAGTATTTTCCAGGGTGGAATCATACCTAAACCATAGAGAGTTTTGTGACGTGTTGAAAATATTTAGACTTGTTAAGGAGTTAGAAGGAAACTTTCGAAATATTGTAGGGGCCAAGCTATAGGGGAGGGATCAGGGAAGTATTGTTATGACCCCTATGTGTGTCTGCTACTCTGCTTGATAATCACAGACCTCTTGGAATATCGTTTTTTTTTTTTTCTTTTTCTTTTTCTAAAAGTTTATGAAATCTTAGGCCTTTTTTTTCTGATGTGTCTGCTGCTCTGCTTGATAATCATTGGCCTCTTGGAATATCATTTTTTTATAGAAATTTATGAAACTCTTAGAATATCTTCCCCTTCCCTGCCCCCATTCCCCTTCCACCAATTGTAAAAATAAACTAGTTAATTAATTAATACCTGAGTTCTTACCAGGCTTGATACTTAGAGTTCTGTCTTCTGCTGATGTTCTTGACTTGTTCTATAGTTAGGAAACACATTAAAATTTCTGAGCACTTTGATTTTTATTTTTTTCCTCATTTGTTTCAAAGCCATAAGGACCTTGACAAATGAACGCCAAGTAAGGATTCTTATGGTATTTAAATAATATGTCGTTAGGGAAGCAAATGGAAATTATTTGCTAGAAAAGTTGGTTATATTGTCACTTCAATTAGAAGTATTTTGATTCAAAATACTAGGTTCATGCATTTTCATCTGATAATGGTCCTTTTACAGAGTGTTGATGTTTATGTTTCTGTATGCAGGTTGGAACTAGGTATTGACTGATTCCTGGTTTCACCCTTAGACATGAAACGTGGATCAAAGAAGGGCTTGCGTTCAATCATGCCTCTTCCTTTGCAAGGCAAATCTGTATCCCATTTTTGCATGTTTCCAAAGGTGAATTCTGCAGACTATGATCCAGCCACCACACATGTGTATCTTAATGTCTATGACTTGACACCCGCCAATAGTTATTTCTATTGGGCAGGCCTTGGTGTCTTCCACACAGGCGTGGAAGGTCAGTATTTCTATTGGGCAGGCCTTGGTGTCTTCCACACAGGCGTGGAAGGTCAGTTTACTCTCGTTATCTTGATTCATCTTCTTTGATCATGAGCATTGCTCTCTTTATCTTGATGCATCTTCTATGGAAGGACAACTAATGAGTTATTGAAAGTTTGCATTATGTTTTTTAATGTTTATATAAAATCATTATTCACTAGACAGAAGCAAAGATTTTCTAATTGTCCATATGTGCATGGTTACAGTTCACGGAGTAGAATACGCTTTTGGAGCACACGACTATCCAACAAGTGGTGTCTTTGAGATTGAACCTCGGCGATGCCCTGGCTTCAAGTTTAGAAAGTCAATATTCATGGGAACAACATACTTGAACCATATCCAGGTTAGAGAATTCATGGAGCATCAGTCTTCAAACTACCATGGTGATAGATATCACTTGGTTGTGAAGAATTGCAACCATTTCTGTGAGGATATATGCTACAGGCTGACGGGAAACAATATCCCAAAATGGGTAAATCGACTAGCAAGAATAGGTATTTGGCCTCTTTTCTAACACATTTCTTCTTAACTTGTCTATTGGATTTGAATGAATTTATAGTTTTTTCTTCGTTATCCTTGTGGTGTGGGCTCACTTCACACATGCACATGCACATGCACCTACAAATTTTTCTGACTAAATGTGTCTGGCAGTGGCACGGAGGCTTGTTCTGAATGTCAAATTTGGGGATGTCCATAAATCTATTTTGCTATTGCATTTTTAGTAGTTTTTTTGCTTTCTTAAGAATCTAAAAAAGCTTATGCATTTGATAATTGCTAAAAAAATCATTTTTTTGAGTCTTTTCAAACTTGCTTTTTGGTTAGAAATTTCCATATTAGTATTGTGGAACACTTGTAGGGACACGGTGGAATTTCTAAAAGTATTGAGGGAAAAATCTTATTTTTCACAAATTTGCTAAAAAAATCTGCTTTTTTATGGAGAAGTCATCCCAAACGGGACTTTTTTGCTTTCGGCTTTGTTTTAGCACAAAAGCTGCTTATTTAAGTTATTCGCAAACAGAGTTGAGGGATCCTGTAAGAAGCTACAAACACCTGTGTGCTTGTTCAGAAAGTTCATTTGGTTCTGGTGGTTGTTATTTATTTTTTTGAACTGAGTTCTGGTGGTTGTTAGAGATCAATCTTAAACTTTTTCTTTTCTTTTCTTTTCTGTTTTGGGTGTTCCCTTTAGGTTCACTCTGCAACTGCGTACTCCCTGAGGTCCTTAAAACTTCTGCTGTCCGGCATGACTCAAATTTCCAAGGCTACGACAGCGAAAAGAAGAGACTAAGAAGCTCCTTCACTTGCTTGTCATCAATTTCAATGCACCAGAGGGAGAGGGAGGTATCAATATCTTCATTGTTTCTACATTCCCATTACAAAGGCTGCTTACCACCATGGGAGTTGAAAAAATCTAGAAGCGGTTCCTTCAACGAATCATGATAAAGACAGTCTTTGAATTCCTATTCCAGTATTTTAAGTGGAATTCCAAGTTCCCCCCCACCCCCCTCACAACTCGGAGCGAGTCTAGGAGGGCAAAATCTGTGCAATGACATCACAGAAGGCTTGTGTTGTGTTATCTCTTTTTGCTTTTCGGGTAATTGCAGAATGATGGTTGTCGTTGTCCTTGTAAGATTGAATTGTGTTGTTAAAAACTTTTGATGTCAAAATCATATTTTCATAGCAAAAGAAGAATGGAGATAGATTGTTGTATTTTGTACTTGAAAACATGATTGGCTCTCACTCTATTCATTTGCTACTTCAATTACTTGAGGAATGTATTTTTTGTATTTGAAAACATGAATTGCTAATTTGGCTCTTTATTCATTTGTCCTAGCATGTGAATTACTTTGCACGTCATTGGTAATTCAACAGCTTACATGTTTCTACTATTTTGAGATGCTTTGCCTACATAAATTCAATGTGAAAAATGAAATCATGGCTAGTGTAAGAAAATAGGGGAAATTTTTTTTATTATTTATTTTTTGTGTTTTCATTCTTAGAAAACACAAAAAAATAATATTGTTTCCAAAATCTTTCTTTTAGAAGTTACATTCCAGGCACAGAATTAAATAAAATAAAATAAAGAGTAAAAACAAAGAATGAGCAAAAACAATTCGGTAAAATTACAAAAAATAAATAAATAAATAAAAATCTCAAGATTTGTCATTTGTAACAAAATAAATCTTGACTTTTTAATTTTATTAATTTAAATCTTAAACTTTGAATTTGTTTTTAATTTTATGCCATCTGCCTATTTCTATTAATGGAAAATATTTTAGTTATTAAACTCAACAAAAAATAACATTTTAAACATTTTATTTACACCTATATTGAATTCAACTAAAATATTATTTTTTTTTAATTTTACTTAATGAAAATAGATTTAATAGTTTAGATTGAAAATTTAAAAAAAAATTAAGATTTAAATTAATAAAATTAAAATTTTATTTTATTACAAAATCAAACTTTGAAATTTTTTTTTTTTTTATAATTTCTCAAAAGAATTCCTACCTCCGAAACATTGGTTTTATCAACATGGTGGCACAAGTCGTTTTCATAAAATAGTAGCTCCTGTCGCCATGAAAAGAAGTTCTCTAACAAAGGGTTGAAGTGTGAATTCCAATTGTTCAGTTTGATTTGATTTTTTAAAAGTTAGTTTTTTTTTTTTTCGTGTTCTTTTTTTTTTTAAATTAATATTTTAAATAAATTATTTATTTTTTAATTGTATATAATTTATATACACTTAGAAAATAAAATATTTATAAAAAAAAAAATATTTAAAAATTTCAACGAATATATAAAAATATAAAAATGTATTTTTATTTTTATCTTTTTTATTTGATGAATTTTTTAAAGATTCTTTTTCATATATATTATGTTTTTTAAGTATATTCAAGTTAGATATATCTAAAAAATAAAAATAAAATATTAAAAATTTTGAATAAAAATTTAAACAATATATATGAAAAATAAAAAATTCTGAAAAATTGAGTCAATTTTTTGGAGCAAAGTAATTAGCGTGCTTTGTTTCAATTTTTTGAAAATTGAGTTTTTTAATTTTTCGTATTTTTTTTGTTTTTAATTAATATTTTTAAAATTTTAAGCTTTTTTTTTTACTTTTTTAGATGTACCTTACTTAAATGTATCTAAAAAGTAAAATATTTATGAAAAAATATTTTTAAAAATTAATAAATACACAAAAATATAAAAAATATATTGAATTTTCTTTTTTTTTATATTTTTAGTATTTAGTGAATTTTTTTACAAAAATTATATTTTTTAAGTGTATTTATGTTAGGTGTTTTTAAAAAATTAAAAAATTACTTAAAATATTTATTTAAAAGATTAGCAAAAATACAAACAATACAAACAATAAGAAAACAAAATTTTTTTAAAATTTTTTTTTAAAAATAACAATAATACATCCCTCTAAATCAATGAACTTTAATAACATGAAAAGTTAAAAATAAAAATAAAAATCACATGATACAAACATCACCATCACTATAGAACCCACACTTTATTAGAGTTATTAGAGCTTAGGACTTTTTTTAAGTGTGCAACTTACACCTTACATTTACGTCTTTCTATTTGCTGTCCTGTTTTATATTTACACCTTTCATTTACACCTTTTGTGCTGATTGCATATGATGTACAACCTTAAGAGGTTGCACACCATAACAGCACCCAGAGCTTAAAACATTTTTGTTCTAAAAAACTGAAAACAAACGTGTGAATAATTCTCTCCTCCAAAGTCTTTGGCCACTATTGACTGCAAAGCTTGCATGTGACATTCTCACACACTTGTGTAGTTCTTAAACAGCTTATAGCTCTGGTCAACCTTGTTCTAGACAACAAGTTTTGGAACCCCACTTCAGCACCCCAAATCAGGGTTTTTCAAGACCAATTTTGAGCCCTTCAACCCATTTTCTCATTGGAAGAGAGACCCAAATTGATGTGAATTAAGAGAGCCTCTGTGAAATTCAGTACTATTTTCTTTTATTTTTATTTTTTTGAGACAGATCAAATCTTCGAGAATCTTCAAGAAATAGGTGACCTAGTTTATGGGTAAAGGAGGAGGGTGTGTGCCCAGCAAGAAAAGGTCACCTTTGGATGCACCTGATCATGATTTACCACACCCAATAAGGGATAGTTCAGTTCCAATTCAAAATCAAAACCCTAGCTCCAATGCAAAAGCCCCAGTCCAAGATGGGGCTTTGCAATTACAAGCAGCAGTGAAAAGGACCAAGTTGAGAATATTCATTGTGTTCTATTCAATGTATGGCCATGTGGAATTTTTGGCAAGGAGCATGAAGAAAGGGGTTGATGGAATTGATGGGGCTGAAGGGGTTTTGTACCGGGTCCCGGAAACCCTTTCACCAGAGGCTTTAGAACAAATGAAAGTGCCACCTAAAGGAGGTGAGATTCCGGTGATATCGGTGGAGGAGTTGGTGGAGGCTGATGGGTTGTTGTTTGGGTTTCCGACGAGGTATGGATGTATGTCTGCCCAAATGAAGGCCTTTTTCGATTCCACTGGGAGGTTGTGGGAGGAGCAGAAGCTTGCTGGGGTGCCTGCCGGGTTCTTTGTGAGTACCGGTACACAAGGAGGTGGCCAAGAGACCACAATGTGAGTCTACTTCAATTTATCAAATTTTATTTTTGATAAATAGATTGGTGATTTAGTGATCAGCATAACTATTCAATTCATCATGTATTAAATTCTTGATGTGTTTGGCTCTGTGACTCTGGATTTTCACAAATTTGATTTCTGTTTTTGTACTGTCAGAATTTCCCTTTTTGTAGTTTTTGTATCACCAAGGTTAGCATAAGTCTAAGAATGCATAACTAAACATCGAATCAGACACAAAAACAAATGGGTGATCCTAGCATTGTTGCCGGGGCTATGTTGTGGTTTGGGAATAGTTTGAAGGATTCATAACTATGATGTATTCCTGATTGCTAATAATTTGAAGATGATCCAAGAACAAGAGTGAAAGAACTAATAAATATGAAGAAAGTAGGAGAATAAACTGTCATTCTCAATGTTCTAAAGATTAGGTATTCCCTAATATAGGAAACACCAAAATTGTTCTGAGCTAATTAATGTGCCAATGGTGTTTGCCTGTTTGGTTGTGGAAAAAAAATGAGGAGATATTTGTGATGGTCTAAATAAATATAGTTTTTAATTTTTTACGAAAAGATGTATAGAAAAGTATAGAGGTGATATGACCCAAAGAAGTGCACTTATAGTCCATGCCAAATAGCCCCTTACAAATATTGTTGATCCATCTTCGAGCAATGTGAGATTATCAGATTCCTATGGGTGTGTTCGGTAACGTTTATGTTTTCAGTTTATATTTACAAAAATTTTATAAACTGGTTTTTGTTTATTTTTAAAACAAACGCGGTTGGTAATTGACAAAATGTTTAAAAAAATTTAAAAATATAAAAAAGAATGAGAAATGGCAAGTGGTGGCGGAAGACAGTGGTGGAAAGTGGTGATGGTGGGTGATGGGTAGAGAACACCCCAACCTGGATTTTGGGTGGCAGCAACTGAGAACACCCCAACCTGGATTTTGGGTGGCAGCAACTGGAAAATATCATAGATCTGATTTTTAAAAAACCTCGTGACAGCATTTCATCAGCTTCATCCAAGACAAACATTTTGATGTAAACAAGGCGAAGTGATTGTCTCCGCAACATGTCAAACACACAACCAGGAGTACCAAGAACAACATGAACCCCACTGGAGAGAATGCGCTAATCTTCGCGCACACTAGTTCCTCCAACACAAGCATGAACCTTCACACTTTGCTGGGCAAGTTCAAGGGTGGTGGTGGCGGAAGACGGTGGTGGAAAATGGTGGCGGGTGGTGGCTAGTGTTGGGTGGTAAAAAAAAAAAACTGAAAACTCAAAAAGAAAACACATTTTTTGTGTTTTCATTTTTTGGCCAAATTTATAAACTGAGACCACTGATTTATAAATCAAAAATTTTACCAAATAAGTTTTTATTTGAATTTTTTAAATTTTTATAAATATAAACAGAAAACTGAAAATGTTACCAAACGGCACCTATGTATTTTGAGAAAGTGATTTCAGTTGGAGTAGGTAATCAAGAATCGCTTTCTCATTCCAATCCATTTGTGGAATTATAGAGGCCTGGAATCACATTCCAATTCCCCAACAAGATTCGTGTCATTTATACTGTGTTTGGTTGAGAGATTTGGAGAGTGATTTAGAAATGGATAGCGAAAAAGTACGTAAAATTAGGTGAAATGTAAGTATATTTTATTCTCATTTCACCTACCTTTTCTCTTTTTCTTTTCAAATTCCCTTTCAAATCCTCCAACCAAACACAACATTAAAGTAAGCTATCACAAGTTGGGCTTTATTTGGCATAGGTTTATGCTTTTTCTTGGATTACAGAAGATATCCCTGGAGTTCCATTTCTAATTGCTGATAGATACATACCTTACAAGTTTGTCCCTTTTTTTGGGGGGGTTTCTAATGATCATGTTTTTGGTTTTTTTTCTTCTCCTAAATGTTCTCTTGGAGGGAGGTTTCAATGAAAACCCATAATCTGTGCTTGATTTATCTGTTGCAGTTGGACAGCGATCACCCAATTAGCCCACCACGGCATGCTCTATGTTCCAATTGGCTACACCTTTGGAGCTGGAATGTTTAAAATGGACTCCATTAGAGGAGGCTCACCTTATGGTGCGGGAGTTTTCTCTGGGGATGGAACCAGAGAACCAAGCGAAACAGAGCTAGCACTTGCAGAACATCAGGGCAAGTACATGGCTATGATAGTTAAGAGGTTTGCCCCTCATTCACGTGCTCCAAATGATCACGCTGGTAAGTAGCCCCGTCAAACCAGCATTGATAGTCCTCCAAATTAATTTCTTTGCCACTGTAATATATATTCAGTGTATGGTATTCACATATTGGTGTGTCGATAGAGTTAAATTTTTAGCTTGGTTTCCTATTCTCCACATTTTTCCGATTCCGGTTCCATTGTTCAAAAAATTTGTATATGGTGTGCTTGAATGTATTATTCATAATGAAATTGTTGGTTGTGTTCTCTTGTACAAAGCTGCTCATAGTTCCAGTGGTTCAGAAAATTTGCTTATCCAACTTGGTTGTGTTTCTTTTTTAGCTTGGCTTTTTGCAGGGTGTTTTATACAACGGTGCTGCTTTAAAATTTTCCAAAACCCCTCTCTCTCTATCAAATTAGTCCACCAACAAATTAGTCCCCCCCAAAAAAATTGCATATTGAAAATGTTTTCTTAACTCGGTGGTTGCTTTGCTGTTCTGGCAAAGTTATAATACTAGAAGATAATCAAAATTGGCCTGTAAAACCATGCCTAAGGGCATAGAAAAAAAATATATATATATATATATTAAAAAAAACCACAATCTCCTGCTGTTTCACATATTGAATTCAACAAAAGGGAATACCAGTCAGTCCTATTACAGGTTACACCAGAATACAGAGACACCTTCCAAGTGAGCACACTCGTATGCTTTCCAAGATTTTTAGTTCCCAAACAATACAATACAACACAGAAAAGCAAAGCACTAACCAATTTCCAACTTTTGGAACTTTGATCAATGAATCTTGATGTACAAGTAGAGCTACTACTACATGCACCGGGGGAAGTGGGTCTGCCCTACATAACCACCAGACATTGCCCTTCTCACGTTTGATTCAAACATCTTCGGGTTATCTCTCAATATGGCAGCAGCATCGTGATTGAGGGGATCTTCGCAATTAGGTTGCTGCTCACACAAAAGTGGTCGTATGCACAAATTGTAAAAACAATAAAGTTGGAGGGCCTATTTGCAAAAGAAAATATAGTTACCGTGAAGAGATGATATAGTCCGTAGATTATGGTATTTATATTGAGAACAGGTTTCCAGTCTTCTCGTAGAATGTTAAGGCAAACATTTCCTTCCAAATCGATGTTAGGATGATAAACCTGCAAGCGGGATTACCGTTTAAACTGCAAACTAAATGCATTAACAACAATACGTGCCACTGTTTACCTTAGTCTTGCACTTGACCTTTGGTGGCTCGTGAGGGTACACCGCTGGAACTTGGAAAGTGAATATGAATGTACCACCTCTGTCAGAAGAAACCAATGTTCCTGGTTAAGCATTCAATGTTCCACCCAAATGATAAAAACCAAAATATATTAAAAAGGTGAAAGCAAAAAGTAAACATAGAAGTAGAATAAAAACAAAATTTATGAGTTAACACAGTAACAAGGCGAACTTGGTCACCCAAGGAAAGAATAACGCAGAAGAGTATGTCCAGCATTCAAAGCAAACCCTAAATGATTGAAATTAAGCCTTTCTTAAAATTAGATGAGTCAAGCTGAGACCACCACAATTAGACCCATCAATAAACCAGGCCCTAAAATATTTCCTCATTTTTATTGTTTTTTTGATAGGTAATTTAAGGAGACTCGATCATGAGTCTTGTTATTGGGGGAATTGGGGGAATGCAGCGTTAATTGCCCAACTTATCATTTTATCCAGTAAACTTATAACATTCATGTAGCCTATGCCGAATTAATAGAATTCTAGGTTTTGGACAAGAGAAAGAGGAGGTATTAACGTGAAAAATTATATATTATAGTTGGTTACCATCTAAATTTATTACTTGAGACTGCTAATCGCTGGACCCCATACTGCTAATTTAAAACCCGAATTCAAGGAAAATGATTCTATAAACCCTGATTACTCATTCTCAACAACCCTTTAACAGCTGTAATTATGTGCCGTTTTTCCCCTCTACCATGATGAATCACTTGATTTAATGTAGGCATCGCTCTTTCCTTTATATATTTTTCTATTCTTCTAGACCCAATTATACAGGAATTTCTAACCAATCCAAACCCCATCCCACAATTCACCCTTTTGTTGGATGGGCTCCAACCCAAACGTCTTCATTACCTCCCAAGGTAGGTTGAATTCCTAATGCTTTAATGAAAATTTCGAGGAAGGAGAAGGGGAAAAAAAAGAAAAGAACATGGGATTTGCAGAAGATTACTTACAAGTAGTATCCTTCATCAGGTCGAATGGTAACCTCAAAGTTCATCAAGTCATCCTTGCCATTGGGAAATGCCATGGTACAACTTTTTGGTAGGTTCAATTCACCAATGTCTACAAGATATTACACAGGAATCTCTTGTAGTTAAATCTGCTGACAGAATCATTAGTGATAAGGTAAACTACTTATTTATCATATATTAAAAACTGGTTTTAGCACCACTGCATTCACATTAGACATTATTTGGCTTTGTCAAAAAAAATTTGTACAACAAACAAATACATGGCAAATGCGTAGAAGTTCTCATCAACACTTTTGGAACAAGAAAAAGCTAGTTCTAAAGATGAATGAAGTTGCTAAAAATTGGATAGCAAACACACAAAGTCTCGGAGCAACAATAATGACCGAATTAAAACCCTATTGAACTTGTGACCACATAAATTTGGTCGATATGACTAGCAAAAATGGCATTGTTTTACAGCTTGCAGCCATAGTAGTCAAATCGTGTTTAATACCATGTATCAAACTCTATACTTTGTTTACATCATGAATCACATCATATAGTTTGTGATTCATTATGATGCACATAATTAATTGAAAATTATAAAATAATAAACAGAGCTAGTCCCTCAATCCTTTTTCTGTCCTTTTTTTAGATGACCCAAAATGGTTGTCTGCTTTAAAAAGTCAACTTTTAAAATATAAATACAATCAAATATTTCTGATTGGGTGACTGAATAGATTTGGAAATTGATACACGTTACTTGAGTGCGAATGCAATAAATGGTTTGACTCTTTAAGAAGTTGGATTTCAAAGGTGGACAAAAAGATAAGGATAAGAGTATGTTAGTCAACAGATGTACGTCTTCATTTACATGACAATGTAAGAGCCAAACATAGTCTCTCAAGATGTAAATACACATTACTTGAGTGCGATTGCAATAAATGCTTGCCTCTTTAAGAAGTTTTTATTTCAAAGGTGGAAAAAAAGATAGGGATAAGAGTATGTTAGTCAACAGATGTAAATCTTCATTTCCATGACAATGAAAGAGCCAAACATAGTCTCTCAAGATGTAACATTGAAAATATGGGCATCAACTAATACACATTCTTGGTATATGAAATTATTTCTATTTCCTTGATCAATCAAAGACAGCTGTGCAATACAATAGAGTTTAGTGTCTCTACTGATTACTTAAAAGAAGAAATATAGTTGCAGAAGTTCTGAACATCCAAATTGGGCAGTATGTTTTTTCCCCGATTGTGCAATATGTTACATGCATTTTACTATGTTCAGATTTAAAGTTCTAACTTTGATATTGAACGATTTGAAAATCCTATAATGTTCAATTTCAAGTCAGCTTTAAAATCTGCACCCAATACAGTAAATCAAGCTCCCAATAACCTGCAAAGGTTGAAGGGTGTACCAAAACAGTATAAATGGTATGTTTTCTCAATTCTTAAAGGAATAAAAGAAGACACACTACATGTCTCCTTTAAACTTTGAAAGATGCTTTGCTACTTTGCAATAAATCTATATTTACTATTATTTTTTTCTCAAAAATGCTTACAAAAACAAGGTAAAACGTATTGTAAGCATAGTGAGTCTTAGGTATCTTATTGTCTATTGTGAAGCATATCATAAACTTGGGTTACATTACAGAGGTACATATGTAATTATCAGTAAAACCATATCAAATTGTGTATTGCATCATGAATTGTAAGACGCTGACAAATATGCTTGCAACCAATTAGATGGCTCTATCCACACACAGCAATCAGATAGCCAAAAAAAACATGTGAAGAGCGGACTCAGAAAATAATGATAATATCAAGTAGCCATTAGACTAAGACTGTTAAAATAGTAGCCTAATGGCAATCAATCTCTTCATCACAAGCATAGTCCACAATCAGAAATACCTTTATCAAAAGTTTTAAAACACAGAGAGAGACTGAGATAATAGTTCCCAACAACTTCAATAACACTGGATATTGCTAAAATCTTTAATACATATACAATGGTATACCTCTTTGAAGGCGTAATTCCCCAGCACTTTGTTTCTTAACAAGTGTTGGCCCACTGGCGTTTTCAGCCCTCTGCTTTTCCTTCACTTTAAAGAGCTTAATCATATTTCCTACGTTAAAATATCAAATATAAGGAGCTTATTCAAAAAATGAAAAAAAAAAAAAAAGCCATCAAATATAAGAAAAATATATGCAACACAGCCATCCCTGAGACAAATTCAATTTAAAACAACTTTTGAGTAAAATACGGAGGGAAGAATATAAAAGTCATTGATTGATTGACACAATTCTCCAATATTCTTGCAAAAAGAAGCCACATCCAAGACGAGATCATGGAAAATCATAAAGTGGTCAAACAAATGTTGATAATCTAAGAGAACTTAGAACCAGTGAATCAAATCTCTAGATGGTATGTCGCTTCACAACAAAATTCATCCTATAACATCTGGTAACCACAAAATTTACACAATTGCATAATTGCATTGTGTCATGATCTAGAACCAAGTTTGACTCAAAAGCAACACCATACCTCATTACTAAACTTTGGATACTAATCTTAAAATGCAAGCTCCCATAGAGAATGTTAAGCCCTTTGTGATATTCACGTCTTTCATAATGAGTGAGAATATTTTGCAGAGCAACAACATGAAAGTAGTTAAAAAATCCAAGTACTCCATTTCAGCCTTTACCAAAGAAAATGCACTTTAAACTCTGGATACTAATCCTACGCTTGCTTGCCCTTGTTTACTTGCAGGGTTATAATAACACAACAAAATAAAAACAAACAAAAGATGACCCTGCTCTTGAAATCATCCAAAGTAGCAAACTTGAGAAATCTAGCCATATTTATAACATCTATAAATACCCACAAATCTCAAATCCATGGGTGTATATGATTATAAGCATTCTAAAGATATTGACTAATTCATGAAAACATGGTAGTTAAAAACAAACATAAAAAGCAATTTTGGCATAGAATCGTAACCACAAAACCCTCAATTATACACGCACAAAAAAATCACAATTTTCAGATTGATCATTCAGAACCACAACAAATTACAAGTTGGAATAGAAAATTACGAAAAAATAAATATGATTGAAGAACATGAGATAGAGATGGAAACTTACCTGCTTGCAACAATCAACGGAGATACAGAAAGATATTATTAGGTGGATTTGAGGCGACAGCGGCATCATTTTTGTACATATATATATACTGTATAGAGAGAGAAAAAGAGAGGAATCTGAAAGCGTGTTGGGGTATTATTGGAGTACTAGTGTATGCCGTGCCTGAACGGTGTAAATAAAAATAATAAAAATAAGGGAACAAAAAAGAGAAAATAAATAAATAAATAGGGAAGAAAATAAAAAATAAAAAAATAGGGAAAATAAAAGGAGTAAGGTGAGATCACGGGATAATTTATAGGATCATGGGAGGGTAGGTGAGAAAAAGAAAAAGTAAACAAAAAAAGTAAGAAAATAAGATACATCACAGCCGTTATTTTATAATTTAAACAGATCTGAGCCGTCTAAATATGCTAGTATGACAAATTCAAAAGTCATCATGTTTCATTATATAGATTTTATAAAGGCCATATATTTTTAAAAAAAATGGTGAGTGAATTTTTTAATTTTTTTTCTAATACAAGATTTATTTGTATAGTTGAATGTATGAATTAGTTGTATCTTTTATCTTTGTAATTATGTTTTTACTCTTTAATTTTTTGATATTCTTACTATATTTTATTTATGGGTAAATTACATTAACCTTTCCAAAATTTAATAAAAATATAATTAGTCTCGTTAATATAATTATATATATATATATATATATATTATGTTTTAGTGCATATAACATTCAGATTCTTTTTATTTTTTTTTTTAGTTATATGAATGAGAGAAAAAAATATAATCATCTTTTTTTATTAAAATATATATTTATCTTTATTTACTTCAATGTTTGCCAATGATTTACTTTATTTTCGATTGCTGGCTTTAACCATATTATAAGTAAAGTTAATGTAATTATATCAAAAATTATAAAATTAATTATATGTTTTCAAATATCAAAAGAATTTATTCTTTTATTTTTTGGCTTTTGGAGTCCATGGTTATGAACCACAGCGGCCAAATTTGGGCTCGTTCGCTTCCGAGAAAGGGCATAAAAAGCCTTCTGATTTTCTCCAATCTGTGTACCAATTCTACCGTTCGTACATGGTTTTTCATTTGAAAAATATTACTTACAATCTTTTCCGTTTAGGAATAATTATCCGTTAGTCAATAGAACTTATTTAATTATTAGTTTTATGTTTATTTATTTTTTAATTTTTTTTTTGTAACTTGTGTGTTCCTTATTTTGATAATGAATTCTTTTTAACATTTTTTAGATAATCATATTGATAAATTTATCAAAATAATAAATGTTTGAGATATTTTAACTGTTTGCATTACAATATAATATTTGAAAGATAAATAGTTGAATTGTAAATTTATTTTTTTTTAAATTACAATGCCAAGTTTAGCACTAAAAATTAGAATAAAAGGTTCTCAAAAAAAAAAATATTGAGTATGAGGAGTTGTTTGGCATCTTACTTTAACACATCTTTTTTTTTCGTATTTTATTTAAGCCACATCGTTCCTTATTTGAGGCCCCTTTTGGGAAGTGGATTATAATCTACTTCTCAGATTATAACTCACTTCATCTCTCACAAAAAAATTGTTTATAAGCAGCTTTTAACCAACAAGTTATTATAACTATCTTCTCAAAATATCCCTGAATCACATCACTTCTCTATTATATTATAGATCTTTTCGCATACTTATTTAGATCATTTCAACCTCTAAGAGAATCTCCAATGGTGCATCAATTTTTTTTTACCAAATCTGAATTAAAGGTTCCTTTGATATCAAGTGTTTCAATGGAAGATTTTAGAGTTTTATCAAATCATTGGTCGATCGGGCCGACGACCGGCCAATGTAATTTATTTACAAATTTTTGCCTTCAGGTGGTCAGTTGGGGGTGCGACCGGGATGACATCCGAATGAATGTCTGGCAACAGTAATGAATAGTGATTTGATGAAAGACACATTGGTCCTCAGTTTGATAAAAAAAAAATGAAAACCTTCGATTTGATACCCTATTTGATGAAACCGTTAAAACAGGAAAATAAGCAATTTTGTTTCAAATTCAAATTTGATAAAATGTTTGAATAACCATTGAAGATGGTCTAAGCCTTTGTTTGGGATGTGAGTTGGCTTTTTGGATTTTTAACTTTTTGATTATTTTAGCCTGAGGCTAAAAAGTCTCGTTTGGGATAGACTTTTTGGTTTTTTTAACTTTTGTGAGAGCAAAAATAAAATAATTATAGTTTAGATGTGATATTTTGTCTTATTGGGCTAAAAAATAACTCCAACCGAATCCAAACCTTTATGCCAAACGAAGCCTATAGCGATCCCGATTTTCTCTCCTTTGGTTGTTGTATGTACCTTGTTTCCATCCTTCAATTCCTTATATTTGAGTTTTAGGATGTGTTGGGCAGGTTTATAACAGGTTAGTTGTGATTGGGAACAAATGGTTGCTGTCCAGATTTTTGTGTCTGGTGGCTCGAGCGAGAAGTCTTGCGCTTGAGCTTGCGTCTGCGTCTGGTTCTGGACCTGAGAGTTGCATTTCTTGGCTCGAGCAAGCTGTATGTTTTGGGCTTCTTCGCCCAAGCGAGCTTTTCTTCGCTCGAGCGTGCTTATGGGTTGCAGACTTGAAACTTTGAATTGTTGGCTCGAGCAAGGCTTTCTGCGCTCGAGTGAGGGTTCTTTGTGTCTGGTCGCTCGAGCGAGCCTCGAATATATCAGTTCGCAACAGCTTCTTCTTCTTCAATTTTCTTCATCTCCTTTTGGTTCAAACCCTAGAACAGTTGCTCCCTCTCTCTCTACACATACCTTCTCTCTAGGGTTTCATCTACTTTTAGAGTGTTTCTACCCTAATCTCTTTGTAAGAAAGATAGAGGTTCACGAGGGCTTCATTTTGGATCCAAAAAAGTGTTGATTTGGAGCATCTTTGGGTTTCTTCATCTTTCCCTTTAGGCTTCAAACTATGAGGTAGGGATAACTACTCATATTTATGATCTTTGACCTAAACTTGTAGTCATTTTGATTTAATGTTGTAGTTGGAAAAGTTTGGGAGTTAGGGTTTCAAACTTTAAAAATGTGTAAAGAGGGGTTTTTGTCCCATTGAACTATATGTGTGTATTTGAGCCTTAAAATGAAGTTATTGAGGTCTATTGATGATATTTGGACATTTGGGTCAATATTAAGAAAAATTGAAAAATACCTTAGTTAGGATTGATTGGATCATTTGTGAAATTAATGACATTTATTATGAGATAATGAAATTGGTTTGGAAATAATGAATGGTGGAGTTGGATTGGTTAATCACTCACCTTTAAACTTTTTGATAATTTATCTGTTGACGCATTTATTATCTGTTTAGAAATAATTGATTTGGGTTATCGGTGGAGGATAGTCTTGATTGTTGTAGACATTGCATGATGATTAGGTGAATTAAAACTAATCAATTGGATATGTCATTGAATATGACGAATGGAATAACACATTGAATATGTGCTTTGCTTGATCATTGTATATGATAAGTGTTTAAATACATTGTATATGTATATTGTTTGGGAGGAGATAGGGGATGTACTCCATGGTTTGAGAGGAGATAGGGGATGAACTCTCAAACCTGTTTGGGAGGAGATAGGAGATGGACTCCATTAATACAGTAAATATGTGTATTAAGTGAAGTATTGGAAGTGTTTTAATATGAGTTGCAGTCTCATGTGAATTGTGAAGTACGGAAGTGTTTTAATATGCGTTATATTCTCATTGAATTATTTGGCCAGGTTCTGAGCCATGTTTATGAATTGAATTGGTTAAGTAAAGAAAAGTGGAATGAAACATAGATATATTGTCATGAAATTGGAATATATTATAAATTGGTTTATATGAGTTAAACATTTATCAAATGCTAATGTTTTAGTTATTACTCATATTATGTTTAACATATCTCTATTGGGTATTGGCTCACCCTATATGGGACATCATTTTCAGGTTCATGTGACATGTCATCTCCAAGGACATAGCTTGGAAGGTTTTGGGAGTTGAAGACTCTTTTGGTTATTTTGTTGATTTTTGGTTATTACATGTATATCAAGCCAAGGGCTTATTTGTGTAAAGAGTTAGAACTCTATTTTTGTTGAACCCAAGTGTTGACTTGGAAAGTTGTAAGCCTATAGGACATTTATTTTTGTTGTCAACATGTAATATCTCTTGTAAGAATACTCTAATGTTGGGAATATGATATCTCTTTCTTGTATCATGAATGTATGATTACGGGTCTATTTTGAGAGCGTTACAACTTGGTATCAGAACGTACCGAGTTCGAATACTTTGGGTACACGGGAAGTGGTTAGTACCACAATGGGTTTGTCTTGCTTGTTAGAGACTTATGTATGATGTTATGTGTTTAAATTGATAACATGTTTAAGTGGTTATATGGGTATGGAATGTAGTTTCTAAGATGTTAATTGGATTCTTGGATTTCTAGGAGTCTTGTTGGAAAAGCACTTGATCAATGCTGTTTCTAACCGGAACTCTAGCAATGCCTCGGGACTCTCAATATCTGGAAATGAAATTCGTAGATGCTTATGTGATTATGTGCTTACGTGAAATGAATTATTGTTGTCCATTGTATTAGGACGCGAGTGTTATAGCTTCGGCACATTTGTGAATGTGCTAATGTTATTCGTTACCTTTATTAGGATGTCAGGACGAGGACGTGGTGGTAGGCGAGGTAGGGCTAGGAGGCAGGAGATGCCTATACCGGATGAGATTCCAGCACCGCAGGAGCGTGTTGATCATTTCACAACCCAAACCCGCCCCTATGGGTTTAGCACCGTAACCGGTCAGTAATCTGAGATTCTTGAAGGCCTGCTTAACAGTAATACAGTAAAACAGAGTACAGGGGCCTAGCGGAAACCAATACAGTAAATAAACAATGTCCAATGAGCCGTGACAGTCTGTATGCCAAAAAGACTTTTCATATACACATATACACAGTGCAGAACAGTATGTACAACATTTATAAACATTCAGATCAGGGACCTAATCCTTATTAAACAGTACAGTAA